AAGTGGTAGAGCGCTAGCCTTGAGCTGAAGAGCTCAGGGACAGCACCCAGGCCCAGAGTTCAGGCCCCATGACCGGACCCCCCCCCAAAAAAAAAAGACTTAAACACTGTCCAAGGAATTAAATGGAATAAGACAGAGCAAACAAAACTCGTGCCAATCATTTTTATTCGTGTTTTGGTTTGGTTTTTTCGTGCTCTGTATGTCTTTTATTATTATCTTTAGGTCATTGTACAAAGGGGCTTCAATTCAACATGTCAGATTCTTGCTCATTTGTGAGCACAATGCCTCTTGATCGAGGCCACTCCTATCATTCTCCCCAATCTTTCCCAATGCCAGAAATATTCTTCGTAATTCACATCCCTTTCATCTATGTTGATAAGGAAAACCAAGACTAGACTGTGGATTTCACAGTCGCTTCTAATATAATCTTGTTATTAGTAAGATGTTGTAGAGAAGGGTAACCATGTCATAAGTAATTAGTACAGGTAATTCATCAATTTCTTTTTTTGGACAATATTCCCCTTCTTCCTTCACTTTCCCCCAGTTTCCTTGCTCACAAGTTGCATATTTATTTTCCACATAGTGTATACTGAACACCATGATTGCATTTGCTCACCCTTCCTCTCTCTCTTTCTGCACTGTTCCTTGGCTCTCCCCCTGCCCCGAAAAAAATGCAAAGAAAGCAAAAACAAATGCTTCAGGCACCACTAACAGCAACAACAAAACACACACACAAATTCCAAATAGGCTTCCATTTCCTGGAGTTGGTTTGAAGAAATCGTACTTTAAACATTCAGAAGAGTTATACTTTGGGGTTCCTTCCTTAACAGTATCCTCTTTTAGTCTAATTTCACAGTCATTTTTAACGTAAAAATGTTTCTGAGTGTGTGTCGTCAATGGTCCACCTGTCTTCATGTGCACCAGAGGCCCATGAAGGAATGGCTTTTGAGGAATCAGTTGGACTTGAATTCCCATTTTCATCTTCAGAGTGATATCTCACAGCTAAGCTTTGTGAAGACCAGTCAGGTAAGAGATCACTTTAGTAACGGTTCTGACTCCTCAGCTCACATCAGGTCCAGGGGTTAAGAGAGCCAAATGAGTTGTATAATCTCTTATTTCATACCCAAAATATAGGCCTCTAGTCTCAGAAAACTTATGTCCAGTTCACAAGCCAAGTGAAAAATCTTCCCGCCAGTAAGAGAGGAAAGTACAGCAAATAGTTTCCTTTGTTAACCAAAGTAGATGAGTTAATCTACAAACCTTTCACAAATTTGGCATCTGTCTGTGACTTTCTCTGGCCTGATTAATGCTAGCGTAGAAACAAAAGTGATGGTGTTTGCTTACCTGGAAGGCCCTTGTGGGTTTGGAAGAGTGAGCTCTGCTCTGCTCCTATGTTCTGTGCTCATGTTTCCAGGCTCTCCAGGAAGGGGCACAGTTGTTACACAGCAGCTCAGTGGGCTCCACTCACAGGCTGCTCCCAACAGACAGCTAAAATGGCTTGACTCATGATGCGGATGATTATCTACATCAGCCATTTGTCATATGCTTCCTAGCTGGTTAAGATCAGTAAAGTCATGTTCTTAACTTGATAGAATGAATAAGCAAAGCAAGTGGTCTACTATAGAGTAGAGAATATTATAAGATGAGGAAATTGGAGAGTTCTCCTTGAGACCAAACAGGATTTAGGAAACTTAAACTGGAAACATCTTAGTAGGAATCTGGAAGGTAGAAAACAATCTTAGACCAGAAAGACTTGTACTTCTGAAGTTTTCTATACTTGTTCCCACATCCTAAGTTCTCCAGTTGCACCTCAGAATGAAAAGCCTTGTTTCCCCCCAATCTCCAGTTGCATGTAAGAACAAAAAGCCCTGTCTCCCCCCAGGAAAGGAATACTTGGCTTCATACATAGGATCAAGGCTGCAGCCCTCTCTGTGGGCATTAGTGTCATTCTCTGTACCTGTCTCACTTCACGTTCTATTATGTCTTTCTCTCCCTGTCTTTTAGCATGTGAAGACTAAGCAATGTGTACAGAAAAGTTTCCAGCTAGGTGCTGCTGGCTCATACCTGGAATCCTAGCTACTCAGGAGGCTGAGATCTGAGGATCACAGTTCAAAGTCAGCCAGAGTAGGAAAGTCTGTGGACTCTTCTTTCGAACTAACCAGGAAAAAAGCCCTCAGAAGTAGAGGTAGAGCTCAAGTGGTAGAACACCAGCCTTGAACAAAAAATTCCAAGCAAGACCACAAGACCCTGAGTTCAAGCCCCAATACCATCACACACACACACACATACACACACACACACACACACACATACTCAAAGACCTCACGACCTGCTCTAACATTAGAAGAAGTCTACAACTTAGATCTCTGGGATGCTTAGATCTCTGGGATGCTAAGAATGTGAAAATGGAAACACCGATGGACATGAACTTGATGGAAATAAAAGTCCCATGAGACATTTGGAAGAGTATGGGATTGAGCCATGTGCTGAAAGCAAAGTGCTTCGTCCAATAGCAAAAGGAGTAAGGGGTAACTCACAGGACTGCACTGCTTATAGTTCAGCATAATTATAAACATAACCTTGAGTGGTCCTTCAATAAACTGCTCTAGTCCCACTTTCATTCACGTTGCCTCATTCTGAGATGTGTATCACCTTCAATGCCCACACTTTGGATGCCTGCAGCCATGTCTGGTTACCTTTCGCAATAGTGGATACTGAAACATCAGGGGAAATGATCAAGATGAGAGTTTTAACCGTACCTCTGCCTGCAAGGAAGAGATAGTGAAACACCACTGCACGCATATCTTTCCTACTCTGGCACGCACAGCCTTCGCATAGGCCTTTCACTCACTCTTCCTCTCTAGCTTCCTCTTTTGACAAGCCATATTTCTTCCCTCAGTTATACCCCTAGGTAACAGATCTACTCAAACTCAAAAAGGTAACAATTTGTAACCTTTTTTGTAGCCAGCTGTCATGGAGAAGCATTTTTTTCCTGTGTTGAAAAGCAACTCTGACTCATCTTCCTCCCCACTGGGTGGTTAGGAATTGTATTTTAGGGAGAATCCATCAGATATGGATTCTATTCACTACCATCCTTCTTCAAACTGCATAAAGCAATGGAGTTGGAGAAGAAAAAGGAACAGAGAACCAATCTCCACATATAACGTTGAAGTCACAGAAGACACAAACCCAAGAATGTCGAAGGAGAAATCTTTATTCATCTACGTTCAGAACACGTACATGGAATTGACTTATAGTCAGGGCCGAAAGGAGTGATTGAGCCAAGGCTCAGGCTTCTCATGAGTAGGGCCATGATCAAGGGCTGGGTTTTATCAGCTCATGTCCTCTTGAGTGCTAGGATGAGGTTCTGGGTCATTGGAGACTGGAGGCTGAGTGTTCACGTCCTCAGCATTACTTTCATCAGGAGGTATTTCTGAATCCACGGGATGCGGGGGTGAGTAAATTTCCTGGAACAGAAAGCAATGTGTTTATTTCAAGAACAAGATCATCTTCCCTCTCTCCTGCTACTACTGTGATTGTCACCAATAATACTCATTCACTGGTCGTTCCTGCACTAAACACTGTCTGTGGGTTCCCTGCATAGTCTTCATATATCAATAGATAATAAACTCATTATTTTTACTTTGGAGTTAGTATACATAAAATCTAGCACGAATGTGTGATTTTCTTGAGTCCTATGGCTGGAAAATAACACATCACAAGGAACTAACTAAAACCAATTTTAGTTGCATTTTCTAAAGTTTTGTTCTCTTATATATTAAATATACTTTTCCACCAGGTGCTGGTGGCACATACTTATAATCCTAGCTATTCAGGAGGCTGAGATCTGAGAATTGCGGTTCAAAGCCAGCCTGGATAGGAAAGTCTGTGAGACTCTTATCTCCAATTAACCACCAGAAAACCAGAAGTGGAATTGTGGCTCAAAGTGGTAGCATGGCTGGGCACTGCTGGCTCATGCCTGTAATCCTAGCTACTCAGGAAGCTGAGATCTGAGGATCACGGTTCAAAGCCAGCCCAGGCAGGAAAGTTCCTAAGACTCTTATCTCCAATAAACTACCAGAAAAACTCAGTGGTAGAGGGCTTGCCTTGAGCTGAAGAGCTCAGGGACAGCACGCAGGCCCAGAGTTCAAACCCCACGACCAACAACAATAACAACAAAAAAGTGGTAGCATCCTAGCCTTGAGCAAAAGAGCACAGGGACAGTGCCCAGGCCCTGAGTTCAAGCCCTACCACTGACAAATAAATAAATAAGAACTTTCCTTTTGTGTTTTCTTTTTTACCTTATCTGGTGTATTTAGCCATTTATTTTTTTTTGTTGTTGTTGATAGATACGGATAGACACTGAACAGTGTGAGGTAGATTATTTTTCTTTTTTTTCTTTAAGTAGTTGTACAGAAAAGGTTTCAATTGAACATGTCAGATTATGAATACAATTGATCCTTCATGTTTTCAATCCTTTTCCAGCCTTCTTTCTATCTCAAATATTGATGCAATCTCTTCTTCCAGGATCCATGCAAATCATTTAACCCACAAAAGTTTCTTTCCAATTCCAAGAGTAAGAAACAATTGCAAACACAACAGGAAGTCTGAAGATCACATGACTTGCTAACTTTCTAACCAAACCCACCTCTCTCGAATCACAGAAGCTCCCTTGGCACCACATGACTGACATCGAGATAGTAATGCCCAGTTCCAGCAAAGTCAGGATCAGCATCAGAGACACCAGGCCCTGGGAGAGACGATGCTTCATATCAAATCCAGAAGAAGCACCCCAAAGAAGAAAATTGTCAACAGCAGACCTCTCCTTCCCACTAGATGGAATAAAATGAACCATACATGGAAGATGTAGACACATAAATGCTGGGATCCAATCTCAATTAAAAAAAAAAAAAACAGGCCAGGAGCCAGTGGCTCATGCCTGTAATCCTAGCTACTCAGGAGGCTGAGATCTGAGGATTGCAGTTCAAAGCCATCCCAGGCAGGAGCATCCATGAGACTCTTATCTCAAATTAACCACCAGAAAACCGGAAGTGGTGCTGTGGCTCAAGTGGTAGAGGGCTCACCTTGAGCTGAAGGGCTCAGGGACAATGCCCAGGCCCAGAGGTCAAGACCCATGACTGTCAAACAAACAAACAAAAGATGGGTATTATATCTATAATAAACTATGTGAACTATTCAAGAGGGAAAAATTGTACAAGAAAAAATCTGACACAATCAGACTTGTCAATATGAATAGTACACTAAAGACATGAGTAGAAATTTTAATAAAGTAGGCAAAATGACCCCTTGACTATTTCTCCAACAATATTTCTCAGAACATGAGGCATGTGTATCAGCCCTAAAAACTATAAAGCTGATACAAATACACAATAAATTATTGTTGCACCAGTAATTCTTCTGTTATCACTGAAACACCTAGGAGAAACACAAAATCCAAATTTCTTTGGAGAAGCTGTCTGACAGTGAAAGACTCAGGTGGCTCATGCTTGTAATTCTAGTTACTCAAGAGGCTGAGACGTTGAAGAATGTAAAACAAGGCTGGGCAGAAAAGTCATCAACATTTCACCTGTAGTTAACTTTCAAAACTTTGGGCTGGAAACATGGCACAAGTGGTAGAATGCAGCCATGAGCAAGGAAGCTCAGAGAGAGCTCAAGAAAGAAAGAGAGAAAGAAAGAAAGAAAGGAAGGAAGGAAGAAGGGAGGGAGGGAGGGAGGGAAGGGGAGGGAGTCAAGAATCAGATAATTGATTAAAATGCATTGTACTCATAATCTGAAATTCCTTTGTACAACTACTTGAACTAAGATAAAAAACTGGTAAAGAATCAAGTCTTGAGCTGGGTGCTAGTGACCCACACCTATAATCTTAGCTATTCAGGAGGCTTGCAATCTGAGGCTCATGGTTCAAAGCTAGCCTGAGAGACAAATTAGAGAGACTCAAGTCCTATTAAGCACCAAAAACCCAGAAGTGGAGCTGTGGTTCAAGTGGTAGAGCCAGCTGTAAAAGAAAGTGAGAGTACCCTGAGTTCAAGCCATGAACACACACACACACACATGTGCACGCGCACACACATGCACACATACAATGGCAGCATGATATAAGATGTTGTTTTCATACATTTTACATCATTTAAAGTATTTTATAAATGAACATATGTTTAGAAACATACATTTGAGGTGGAACCCACGTAGATGCATAAGTCTGGAGACTGCGAAGACTGACAAACCTTGAAAGACTGGCTATTCAGTGCTAAATGTACTGACAGGAAAGCAGTCCCAACCAAGGCAATTGTAGCACTTGCAATATTCATCCCAAAACTGTTTTGCATCTGCAAAAGAGAAGAAGACTTTTCCATCCGTTTATGTTGAACACTCCTTGTGTACTCCCTTGGACTCAATCCACTTGCGCAAATACTCATAGAATACAATTTACAGACCCACCTATATTCTAGACAAACTTCCATCAACAACAACTCCCCAATGCCTGTGGAACTTACATTCGAGCAATAAAGACAAAGAAAACAACAAATGTATTGTGGACCTCTGTCTTTCTGCACCTGACTTACTTCACTGAACAATTTGCAGATCTTCCCATGTCTTTACAAATGATACATATCATTCTTGCTAATGGATGAGTAAAATCCCATTGTGTATATAGACCGCTGTTAGTAAAAATTTTATTTCAACTCCCCTGGTCATAGAAAAGGAAGAATTTCCACTTACCAGCATTCTTGTAGGGTTTCTCCCTGCTGCAACAGACAAGGATCCTGAACCAATAAACTGTTTGAAAATAGGAGGGTAAGCAGATTAAGAAATATTAAAACTCAGCCATTTTTCTTCTTGGCTTTCCCTCGAGTAAATGATGTCTAAAAATAGCTACACAAATGTCATTTTAAAAAAAATTCACAACCTAGCAGACAAAATCATACTTGATGTTGCTCATTATTTTATAGGACTAAAATCCACAAATAATTTAAATTCTAAGTAAATTTATACTCCTTTCCTTTTGTTTTATAGCTAGCTTTTAGTGGGTTTATCGGAGTCTGGGTTCTTTGAAAGCATATGTACATATAGTTAATATAATATTATAGTTATTATATTTATGTTCATGTAAATGATATTCATTTCTATATACCCATGTTTGTGTGTCTATAAATCTAATTTTCATATTCTTGCTCAAGCTTCAGCCGTCTGATTTATTCCTCCCAAACATCTTTTAAATCTTGCTATGTACCAGCTAGACTTTTTTATTTCAGTGTGCTCTTAGCCCCTTGACTAAGATAAATTAAATTCTCTCTACATTTACAATGGTTTGAAAACCTTCCTTCTGTCTCTTCACCAGGACACCACACCTGAGGACTAAAGGAAAAGTTAGCAAAATCATGGCTAGCAGGCTACTTAAAATTCACTACTAAAGTCTAGCTGAATGTAAAAGTATAAGCTTTCATTATCACATCAACTAACGAGGGTATCATGGGGACTCCTGAGTCACTGTTGCTTTGTATACAGCAAATTCCTATGCTTCAACCCCCGCTTCCTCTCATATTCATCCTGGAACCTTGGCCTTGGCCGGGGGGGGGGGGGGGGGGGGGGGGCTAGGCCCCTCTTCACCTCAGTTTCTTTTCCATATAAATGGTGATGTGTGTACTCTCATGGTAATATTGCCTACCTGTCAGCTATGTTGGGCTGAAAGGAAATCATACCGAAGAGGGGGATTACATGCAGAAAATAGTTAAGTTAAAAATAATATCTGTTTAATAATAGCCATTTAATTTTATTTCACATTGAAAAAGTATCCATTTAACTTTGGCAATCCCAAGAGACCTTTCTCAAACTTTTTCTGTCATTCTGGTACACAAGCAGAAGAGCCAGTGCTCATATACTTTTTTTCTCCTGTGATTTTGTTGATAAGAATCAGTACAAGCCAGGCGCTGGTGGCTCACGCTTGTAATCCTAGGGACTCAGGAGGCTGAGATCTGAAGATCTCGGTTCAAAGCCAGCCCAGGCAGGAAAGTCCGTGAGATTCTTATCTCCAATGAACCACCAGAAAACCGGAAGTGACACTGTGGCTGAAGTGATAGAGCACTCGCCTTGAGCTGAAGAGCTGAGGGACAGTGCCAAGGCCCACAGTTCAAGCCCCACAATCAACAACAACAAAGAATCAGTAGGAAGGGATGAACAGACAGCAAGGACCATGTCATGGTCAGTATGCAGCAAGGCCTGACTCCCAGGAGATGGCAAGGCGAGTGTGGAGATCAGTGAAGGCATGCCACAGACCTAAGCTGCTGCCTGCAGGTGTCTCAGGGACAGAGCGAGACTTCTAGCAGCAAGCACCAATGGCCAATTTGAGCTTTGGTGGTAATAGTGCTAAAGGGAGCAATATTCTGATCATAGTTCTTTGTATTTTCCTTCCTTCTTTCCTTTCTTGCTTTTCTCTTCTTCTTTATTTTGACAATCTGATCTCACTTTCTGGAGGGAAAAAAATCTATATCTTTTTTTAAACATGGCATGGAAATTCTTAAGACTCAGTATGCAGAGCAAATATGCAGCCTGGATTTCTAAGAAAAATTCAGTTTAACTGTGATGATGATGATGATGATGTTAACTATCCAACAATTTCAGGGATAGGACGCTCAAATTACAAGTTTCAAACTGGATCTGAAAAGGTATGTAGACTATGAGATCTAATTTGTGTCAGGAGTTTTTAGTCTTAAGAATAATATCATTGTGCCGGGCACCGGTGGCTCCTAGCTACTGAGTAGGCTGAGATCTGAGGATTACGGTTCAAAGCCAGCCCGTGCAGAAAAGTCCATGAGACTCTTATCTCCAATTAACCACCAGAAAACTGGAAGTGGTGCTGTGGCTCAAGCGGTAGAGTGCTCGCCTTGTGCTGAAGAGCGCAGGGACAGTACCCAAGCCCAGAGTTCAAGCCCCATGACCAACCAAAAAAAAAAAAAGAGTACTATCATTGTAAAGAACATTGAAGGGTAATAATTAAAAATTTATAAATTGGAGCCCAAGACTTGTTATAATTTTAATTCACTTTCCAATAACATATTCGGTTCAGCATTGTCAGCTATGTGCTCCCATCTTAATAGCTCCTTTTTGTCTTTCAGTGTTCAGCTCAGAACTGAACATTTGTACATTTTCAAAGCTAGAGACCACATAGGAAAATAACAATGGCTAATTAACAAATCATTTCTATTCTCCACCTTAAAAAAAAAAAAACCCATGCAGTAAGTAAAAATCAAGTGGCAAAGCTCATGAACAAGTTTTAAAGACTGTCCAGCCCCTGATTAGATTTTTACTGACATCTGGGGAGTGACTCTTCTGATTTTCAGACAATAATCAGGAGACCATTTATTTCAATCTCTCAAGTTGAAATTCTTGGCTATTAATTCACATATATATATATATATATATTTGTCCAAATTTTTAGTATCTATCATATTTAACAGAAATATTAAGAAGTTAATGTTAGGGTCTTAACGTATACCCCAGAATGGGATATTGTTTAGTCAGAAGGGGGTTTTACCTTACTTGTAGCAGAAGTTATAAGTCAAAACGACAGTATATGACTTTCAAACAAACTACGAACACTTTCATAATGGAGCGCACTTGTGACAGTGCCATGTGAGGCTAGCCTCTGGCCAGGGAAACGAGGAATACTCACAAACACAGGGCCCCACAGCGGGTAGCCTGTGTAAAAGGTGAAGAAGAAGAAATGCCTGAAGAGGTGAGACAGATACTGTAACGACGCCAGCCAGATGCCCAGAGCCAGAATCATCGCTCCATTCAGGATCTGGATGGCCTGCAAAAGAAGAAAATCAAAGACAAAAGGCCACGTTAAGTTTCTCAGAAAGGAGATTGCGTGATGTTCAATAGTCAAGCCAAAATTAACTGGGCAACACCTGAGCTTAGAGCTTCCATTCCACTCTCTGACCCTGTCATTCTATTTCCAACCGTTCTCACAGACTCCCCAAGAGTAAAGAAAATGATGTTTGGCGAAATAGTCTGTTTTCCCAGCATGCTTTGGGGCCAGGAGAAGATAAAAATCAGACAGACATTAAACTTTGTTCTCCTTGGCCTTTCCCCCACCACAGAGTGTGTGTGTGTGTGTGTGTGTGTGTGTGTGTGTGTGTGTGTACATACTGCTCCTCTACTGCTCCTCGGGTTTGAACTCAGAGCCTAGGCTCTCTTTCCCTCCAGGTTGGCCCTCCAGCACTTAAGCCACAGCTCTACTTCTGGTTTTTTGGTCATGGGTTGGAGATGAGTTCTCATAGATTTTCCTGCCAAAGCTGGCTTTAAACCATGATCCTCAGACTGCTGAGTAGCTAGGATTATAGGCGTAAGCCATTAGCACCCGGCTCCACCGCAATTTTTAACTGACATTACAGGACAGGAACTTTGTATTGCTCAACCACCAGAATGGGAGGTCACAGGAAAAACCTTTGGGGATCTTACATTCCATTCCTTAGGGTGTGGTGAACTGTTCTCAGCTGTGAGGGAACACCTATCTATTAGCATACAATACTGTCTTAAGTACAATACTGCCTTAGTGAGAAAGAATTCAAAATTTTCTTTTCTGGGTACACACAACGGTTTCTACATGACTTTATTTTTCCTTTCTTTTTAAACCAATTTGCTTTGAAGAACTCCAACTTACCCCAAGGGCTTGTAATGTTCCTTCTTGGTAATGTTGTAATTCCTTCAAGGTCCGGTAAACAGAAATATTCACCCCATCAGATGCCACCTGGCTGCCTGGAATACCACCTCCTCCCGTCTCCAGCCCTGCAGTATCCGCTTCTTGGGAGGCCATGTTGGGGTGCTTTGTGGCTGACATGGAAAAAGAAATCCAAAGGTCCCGTCATTTTTCTTTTGTTACAATCTAGTTGTATTTTTCAGCGTCCTAGAGGGCTTCATTCTGTCCACGTTGCAGCATGAAGTGGCAAGGGAGGGAAGGGCAGAGCAAAGAGAAGCTACGAGATGCTCAGGTCTATTCTGTTCGTGTCAGGACTGGCCCTTTCTTCCAGCAACACATCCCTACAGCTTCATCCTGGTCTTCCTGGCAATTCTAACAGGCTCAATCCCAGCCCCCAGGACGTACTTTCTGGATGCTGTTTTAGAGTTCTGGCCAAATGGGAAAGATGAATCCTTTCATATAAAAGCTAGGTGTGGAGCTGGGAAGGTGGCTCAGTGGTAGAGTGCTTGTCTCACATGCATGAGGCCCTGGGTTTGATTCCTCAGCACCACATAAGCAGAAAAAGCCGGAAGTAGCACAGTGGCTCAAATGGTAGAGAGCTAGCCTTGAGCTGAAGAGCTGAGGGACAGCGTCCAGGCCCAGAGTTCAAGCCCCATGCCTGACACATACAAAAAAGCAGGTGTGGTACTTGTTAGACACTATGTTAAAAATGAACTACACACATTGTGGGTAGGGGTGGAAGGGAAATACTGGGAGAGAGCAAGGGAAGGGGTGACATTGTCCAAAAAGAAATGCACTCTTTACCTGACTTATGTAACAGTAAACCCTCTGTACATCAGCTTTATAACAATAAAAATAATTTCTTTCTGGTTATTCCCAGAGTTCCTTCGACTTCCCTTCTCATAATCCCTAGGCAGTCTGAGCTCCAGTTTCCAGAGTGATTTATCCACATTTCACCATCTTCTCATCACTGTGACTCCCGGATCTCCCTCAGCATCTGTCACATGCATGAGTCTCAGCTAGTACATATTACACAATTATTTTAAAAGCACTTTAGGCTGGACACCAATGCCTCACACCTGTAATCCTAACTACACAGGAGGCTGAGATCTGAGGATCATGGTTCAACAGGCTGGCTTCAACTCTTATCTGCAATGAACCAGTAGAAAATTGGAACAGCTACTGTAGCTCAAGTGGCAGAGTTCTAGCCTTGAGCAAAAAAGCTCAGGGACAGCGCCCAGGCCCTGAGTTTAAGCCCCACAACTTATTTTTTAAACACTATAAGTCCATCCTCACATAGCCCTGCTTTATGGATGATAAGGGAAAATATGTCTGCAAACACTAGATTCTCTCATGCCACGAAACCACAGAGCAACTTTAGGGGAAGAAATCTATTATAACCAAATAATTTGACTTTTAGAAAAACATCAGGAAGGAGAATTTTTCAAAGTCCTCGGGTAAAAGGAGCTATGTTCTATAAAATTTAGTCAATTCAGCATTTTAAAAAATCAGCAAAATCCATTTGTCTGTGATCTTAGCAATTAAGTTCAGCTATCTACCTCTGAGTACGGAGTCGAAGTCCTTGTAAGTATCTTTCTTATCTTAACTAGCTTATTTTTCTCAACTCCCTTTGGAATGTCTCCTTCTATTTTTCTGATGAAGAAGTTGAGGCACAGAGGAGGGGGCCTACAACTTGAAAGCCAGGGATCAGAAGCTGGTAGCCTGTGCGTAGTCACCATGATAATATACTGACCTTCCAAGCTTATGTTGAACTGTACTTCCCAAATTCTACATAGATCTCACAATGTTCAGGCAACATAACTCAGGTACAGCTATTTGGAGGGGGAGGGGAGGGAGAGAGGGAGAAAGGAGAGAGGAGAAAGGAGAGGAGAGGAGAAGAGAGGAGAGAAGAGGAAAAGAGAGGAGAAAAAAGAGGAGAGGAGAGGAGAGGGGAAGAGAGGGGAGAGGGAAGGAGGGAGGGAGGGAGAGAGAGACAGAGGCAGAGACAGACACAGAGACAGACAGACAGAGAGAGAATATGACTCCAGGGCTAGGATATAGCTCAGTGGCAAAGAGCTTGCCTAGAAAGTGCAACATCCTGGGTTCGATTCCCAGTACTAAAAGAGAAAAGGCCAAAAACATTGACTCCACTTTTTCCAAACACTATCTAACATTGTTCTAATGGAAGCAGAATAATATTCATCTTCTAAGGTAAGCTAACTTCACACCGAAATACCCCATATCTCTACAGTGCAACCAAACAGAAAACTCTGCAAACATCTCCAGTGAGCCAGATGGACGCTATGAAGAGGGAGCTGCTGTGCTTACCTTGGAGACTCAGGCTTGGACCATCTTCCTCCCCCCCAAGCCCATCCTGTCACAGAGTAGAGAAACTCAGTAAGGATCAGCAATTCAAGAAAAGCGAATCCTCTTCTCCCTGGGGGTTAGCCAATCTTTCCCTTGTGCAATGCTTTCGTGGAGCCAATGGAGAGGGCCGGCTGGATGTCTGGAAGGTGTGATAACCGCATTTGCACTACAGGCCTCTCACCACCAGCTTCCCCAAGGCTCCGTGATAAGTAGGGAACTGGCGTGAAGAATAACGGTTTCTGGCTCAGAGTCATTGCTTCACACACCGTTGGAACAGAAAAAGAAAAAAGAAAAGACAAGCAGAACATACCAGTAGGTTAAAATGGGGAGGTGTTATAGAATGAAGAGTAGAGTTAGCTGTGAACTAAGAAGAGATGAAGCCAGACACTAAGCATCAGGTTGAGAGAAAAGACTGTGGCCACTAAAATACTCAATGTAAGTAATGTACCAGTGAGGATGTGAGGGACTGTACGTGCACGATTGTGCTCATTCCTCACAGGCTTCGAGAGGCTGTTTCTTTGGTCCCATAACATGGATCCATAATGCTAATTATCGCTTAAGTACCTTACATGCCATGTACAAGTCACTATTCAAAACAAGGGGATGAACAAGAACATGAACAGTGCAAGTCTACTTAATGCCACTCATCTGAACACTTAAAAGAATCAAGATGGCAAATCTTGTAGACCACAATCTTTTGCACCACAATAGAAAACAGAAACAACTGTCCCTTAAATGTCCACTTGGCCTGAAGTATTTCTCTTCCAGCAAAATTGTTAAGCTCTGCAGAGAGGAGAGTCATCTCCTGAAAAGCGTGAATAACCCTTTCAAGGGAACATTGTCTCAATGGCTATTACCACCCAGGGTCTCAGAATAAGGCCAAATAAACAGCCACAGGTCTTCCTCTGGGCAGACCTGCAGCTCTGTATGACCAGGAAACAGGAAGTGGTGGCTGGTTTAACTGATTTTGTATTCATGCTATGCATACTTTCTTACTTGGAACAGGCTCTGGAGATGGTGGATCACACTGTTTAGCACCTAAGGCCATAGTCTCCCCTGATTACCAGAACACCAAAGCTCATTTGACAATTGTTTGCAGAGAGACTTAACACCATCTAGAAAGTTCAAGTGGCACACAATACTTCCAGGAAATACTAAACAGTGGAAAACCATTTCTACTCATGTTCAGATGTCATCAGCTTCTAATATGTATAGAAGAAAACAACAGGCTACAATTTCTGTAACCCGTACTGAAGTTACGTCAGCATTTCAGTCTGCAGAACTTGGCAACCCAGTATTTTTTGTAATTTTCATTTGCTTTTATTTGCTAAAACAATAATCCAAATATACTGTCTCAAAATCCACTGTCTTGTCTAGAAAAATTCAGACCCTTGGGAAGCAGTCTTGTTCCTCTGCTACTACAATCTGTGTTAGAGTTGGGCTTCCTGCAGTTTATAGGAGTACGCCTGGATTTGTGACAAAGTTCCTTCCTTTCAGAGATGGGTTAGCTCCACTATTCTGAAACCTGTGATCATTTATGCCTTTCAACCATACCCACTAATGCAATGATGACAAGGTTTAACCAGTATTTAAGCCCCATGCTCCATCAGCATGTGATGTTTCACTCAGAAGCATGTGCTGGCAAGGGGCAGAAAAAAATTATCAATGGATTTTAATATATAGGAGCATGAAAAGTTTATTCCTATGTTTTTAGATTCCATATTACAACTAACTTGGAAGAAGCTACCCTTGGTTGAATTTTGTGGTAGGATCAAAGATTAGCCATAACACTGAAAAGGCTATTAAAATACGCTTCTCCTTCCCATCTACCTGTGTGAGCGTTTTCTTATAAATTTTAACCAAAGTGACGTGTGATAAAGACTGAATATGCTGGGCTGGGAAGGTGGCTCAGTGGTAGAGCACTTGTCTTGCATGCATGAGGCCCTGGGTTCGATTCCTCGGCACCATATAAGCAGAAAAAAAAGCCAGAAGTGGTGCTGTGGCTCAAGTGGTAGAGCACTAGCCTTGAGGTGAGGTGAAGAGCTGAGGGACAGCACACAGGCCCAAAGTTCAGGCCCATGACCTGAACCCCCACTAAAAAAAAGACTGAATATGCAGAAACACATATGAAAATATAGCTTTTTTTTCTAGGAATGAAGAACCAAGGCATAAGATAATGTTTTATGCTCCAAATGACCAGTTTTCCTCATGGAAGAGACTGGCCTTCCTTTTTTGAGCCAAGATCATTTGAGTGTTACCTCTTGCACGTATTAGCATCCCTTGGAATGAAGTTTGTTCACCGGTACCCTTACATGGTATATTCAATGCAAGATTTCACTTCCAGAGATATTGTTGGTAACTTAAATTCAAGGAAGAACTAGAAAGCATTTCTTGGCCTAAAGTGCAATCGGTGATGAGCAGGAATTTAGTTTTGAGTACTTTTGGATTGGGGAAGTCGTTACTATGCAGTCTACCAAAACCACAGTGAATTGTCATCCAGGAGCAGTTTTATTATGAACTTGTCTTTGCATACAATTTCACTCGGACTTAAACACATTGAAAAAGTGCAAATATCACATGATAGTTGTATACCATGTGACATCCCAGAAGACATTTAAACAGATAAATTCATGTCACTATTCTTCTTGGAACAGGCAGAATTACAGCCTCTATGAAACCGAGTTCCACAGATACATGTACCCCCTGCTCTGCACCTCAGGGATGAAGGGAAGTCTGCCCACAGCCACTAGTGGCCCAATGATTCATGGGAATTTGGTCCTATGGGAAAAGGGATAAAACAGTTAAAATTTCCTTACATATAACTCAACCTAACAACTTGTTCAGGGAACTCAAAAATACTTACAGTATTAAAAAAAACTCAAATTTCAAGCATTACTCAACTATATCAAATATTTAATTATGATACTAAAAGGGACTGTCATCTAAATACTAGCTCAATCACCACTTTTCTGAGACTTGTCCCATCAACTTTTAATGTCATATACCTTCACTTCAGGGGGATCCTGCTAACAATGCTCATTTGCTTATGAAATGTCACCTTCACAGCACCGATCTTGTGCATAAGTTTTATGGTATCCTTGATCTCAGAAAGCACTAATTAGATGTAGGAAATGCCTCAACTTTTTTTTAGCCTCGTTAACCTACTTTCCTGCATTATTCATGTTAAAAATTAAAAAAAACAAAGCTGGTGCTAGTCACTCATGCTTAGAATCCAAACTACTCAGGAGATTGAGATCTGAGGATCACAGTTCAAAGCCATCCCAGGCAGGAAAGCCCATAAGACTCTCGTGTCCAATTACTAAAGAAAAAAAGCCAGAAGTGGAGTTGTGGCTCAAGTATTAGAATGCTAGAATTAAGCACAAAAGCTCAGACAGCACACAGGCCCTGAATTCAAGCCCTAGGACTGGCATACACACACACATACACACACACACACACACACACACACACAAATTGTGTGTGTACACACTTGTGCATGTGTGATTTTGCTTCTGGTGCTAGTATGAAATTGGAGACCTATTTTAAGCCAACGATGACAACCATTTCACCTTGTCAGAGGTGAAATTAAACAATTTAATTGTGGTTTGTGCCTGTAATCCTAGCTACTCAGAAGGCCGAGATCTGAGGATTGTGATCTTCAATCAGCAGAGGCAAGAAAGTCCATAAGCCTCTATCTCCACTTAACTACCAGAACTCCAGAAGTAGTGTTGGGCTCAAGTGTCAGAACACTAGCCTTGAATGAAAAAGGAACAATGCTCAGGCCCTGAGTTCAAGCCCCAGTACCGGCACAGAGGGAAAAGAAGGAAGGAAGGAAAGAGGAAGGGAGAGAAATAAAGAGAAAGAAGAAAGTGAGAAAGAAAAACTACATGACTTACAGCCCTGTGTGGTCTACAACGAACATGCACGTTAAAAGTTGAGAAATCTGGGGTTGGGAAGGTGGCTCAGTGGTAGAGTGTTTGCCCTGCATGCATGAGATCCTGGGTTTGATTCCTCAGCACCACATAACCAGAAAAAGCAGGAAGTGGCACTGTGGCTCAAGTGGTAGAGCGCTCGCCTTGAGCTGAAGAGCTGAGGGACAGCACCCAGGCCCAGAATTCAAGCCCCATGACCAACAAAAAAAAAAAAAGTTGAGAAATCTGGGCATATAGTATTCATATATGGATTTGTAGTATTCCTTTGTTAGAACTGTACCTAAATTACTCTTCATCCTGAAGTGGGTAAACTGTTCTTACCTGATCAAAACTAGCTTCACATGTTCGACTCTGTGAGGGGCCCACGGGCTGTTGTCCTTCTTTTGTTCCTTGAAAGTCACTCATGATGGGAGATGCACCTCATACCCATCCATGCCAAAAGGCAACAGGCGTGACTCTCTAAACCTAATAAAACAAATGAAGACATATAAAGTACCATATTGATTGTTGTGCAGACATGTTGTGGGGAAAAATAAAAGTCTGATTAGTCCATTTATAAGTACCAAAAACCTGAATAAATTGACTGTGGGGAAGCAAATTCATTCAGTAAATATTAACCAAAAAAAAAATCCCTAGCAGCCTGGAACCTGTGTCTCCTGCCTATAATCCCAGCTGCTAGGAGACCGAGATCTGAGGATCACAGTTTGAAGCCAGCCCTGGGAGGCAAGTCTGAGACCCTTCTCTTCCATTAACCAGCAAAAAGCCATAAATTGAGCTGTGTCTCAAGAGGTAGAGCACCAGACTGGAGTGGGAAAAAAAAGCCAAGGGATAGCATCTAAACCCTGAGTTCAAGCTCTAGTATCAACACATGCACAGATTTTAAGTTATGGGGAGAGATTCTACCACCAAATACTCATGGTTAAAACTCAGCACTTAGACGCCATCACCTCTGACTTTCAACCCACCAGCATCCTGTTTCAGGAGTTACAGTGTCCCCATCCCTGCTCTCATTTCTTTCCTCCCACAGCCAATACGGCAGCAGTTCCAGAAGAGTTCCAAGAGCTTAAGTGAAAGGAGACAAAAACCTCCTTCATTCTATTTTTCTTCACAAATT